AAAGTTGGGATTCAGAAAGCAAGGAAGGCGGTGGGGGACAATGCAGGCACAGTTTTCCCAGTGTGCCAGCATCCTAAAGAGAGTTTTCCAGCTTTAGTTAATTTACCCCCAAACCACATTTCCTTAAATGTATGTATAGGTGTTGCCTTTTAAGCTGTGTATGTATTGCCAGTTTGAAGGTGTACTGAAAAGCATATCATGTAATTAGAAAACAAAGTAAGTTTTTGTTAAAGCTGTACCTTAAATTAGATTAAAGCTATAATTTTCTGCCTCATCATAGCAATTTTTTCCAATGGCAAAATTTCTGCTGCTTGTCAAAAGCTCTGGAATCCTAGTTCTGTCAAGCAGATGTGTCAGTTTGGGGGTGATGACAACGTTCTGCAATTAGATAGTGGTGATGGTCGCACAACCTTGCAAATATACAAAAACAAACACTGAGATGTATACCTCCAAAGGCTGAATTTTGTGGTATGTGAATTACATCCATAAAATAAAAAGAGGGCATGTCAGGGTACCTAGACACAATAAGAGCAAATTCAGGAGAGAGAAATGGATTCTGTGGAATAATCTGTGGACATTTGTTTAAAAACCAGGATGTCTGGTCATTTCTGAAAGCATTTTTTACCAGGAGATGTAGAACACCTGGGTTAGATGATGGATGGATGGATGGATGGACGGATGGATGGATAGATGGACGGATGGATGGATGGATAGAGCTAATTACAGCCACTCTCCTAACATGTAAGCCAACTGTCCACATGTGCAGGTCAGGTGGTGGTTGACAGCCATGGGATCTAGAAGCCGGCCAGTGACATCTGATGGTGCTTTTAAGCAGTTGCTTCAGGGGTAGCTCTTTTTACCAAATTCCTCTAAAAAGTACCTTCGTGTGGGTAACACAGACAACTATGTGCTTATCTTACAGAGACTGTTTCAGCTTTCTTATGGGTCAGAAGCAATTGGTAACCTTAATCATTTGAAGATTGGCCCCAGCCACACATTTGTCTTGATTTGCCTTTGTCACCAGCAATGCAGTGTTGTTCACATTTTATTAGGCTCAGATAAATCCTATTTGTTAGACAAAAGTTGCACTGACCGCCTTCAGTTTTACTATCTTGCCTTTCTACGTCTTTCTCTGTGTGTCAGACATGGAGACGGGCAGCGCCTGCCTGTAGGGAGATGGATTCCTATGAAAACAAAGAGAAAAAGACCAGAAGGGAGAGGTGAGGGCGTTTCTGTAAATTCAGTCGTGCTATTTCCACTGGGCTCACTGTGACGTCCTCAGGACCCTGCCATCCAATGAAGGCATATCATCTCATGTCGTTGGGGAGTATGGGCTGTGCCCAGGAAGCAAGTCCAGAATCTCAAACAAGTCCACATACAGCCTTCCCGGAACCCATGGCTCCAGTAACACATTAGGACCTTTTTATCAACCTCCAAATAACGGTTTCTTCCCCCATCCCTCCTGTGAGCCCTGCTACATCCCCTATACCCCCACTCAACTAGCATTGGGTTTCCTGTTGTGGTGCTATCTTTACAAAACATCCTGCCATAATTAAGGTATTTTGAGGATGG